CGCGCCCCCCTCGGGGGCCGGCGGCCCGGGGGGGGGGGGGGGGGGGGGGGGGGAAGCAGGCGACGGGGACGCGCCCGGGGCCTGAGGGGCAAGAGCAAGGGGCGCGCCCGCGCGGACCGGGAAAGCGCGCGCGCGGCAGGCGGGGCCGCCCCCTCCCCCTCCCCGCCGGGCCCGCGCCGCCCCCGGAACCGCCGCCTCCTCCGCCCGCGCCCGAAGGGAGGCCCCACCCAGCCCCGCCGCCGCCGCGCACTACCCCGGCCCGCCGGCCCGGCTGCGACGCGGCGTGACCCGGCCCCGCCTCACCCCGGCCCTGTCGCCGCCGCCGCCTCGGCCCCGAGTCTTTTCCCCTCACAGCTCCCTGGGCGCCATCTTACATTCAACCCCTTGCAGCCAATCACCGCGCTGCTCTAGCCTCGCGAGAGCGCGGCTCACAAGTCCCGCGAGAGCTCATCTCCTAGGCCCGCCCCGCGCCTTAAAGGGGCCTGGCCACGGCGGAGTGCGGGGAGGGTGCGGCCGCTGGGGGGCGCCCTGCGGGGGGGTGCGTGCGGCCGCGGTGACACACAGAACGCGGTGGGGACACGTAGGGACAGGGACAGACCCTCGGCAGTCGGGATACCCGGGACGCTACCAGCACCGCGTGGCTGTGTGGCGACGCCGGTCGAGGGGCTCCACGCGGCCGCCCCGCTCCTTCGCGGCATGCCGGTGCAGCCCGGCCCCCATCCCCACACAGCACCTGGGATGAAGCTTCGGGTTGCGCCCGTGGGGGGCCAGACCTCGGTGCAGGGGCTCCCCGGGAACGGCTGAGGCCTGCGCGGCCTGTACCGGAGGGGCTGCGTCGTGCCCCGGGCGGCACCGCGGAGCGAAGTGTCCCCATGGAGACGGAGGATGCCCTGCGCCATGGGACCGTGCCGAGTCTGCTTTAACGTGCCCATGTGCTCGGCGCGGCCTCCCCAGCCCCGGCCCCGCTTAAGGTGGCTCGTGGGGCTGGGCAGGGTCTCCCTCCACTTACTTCAGGTCCAGGGACACAGGCACGGGGCTCAGGGGATGGGGTTCATGCCAGTTCCGCGGGGACACCTCTCTGACCCCCAGCCCGGGGCCGAGCAGGGACCACCCCGCTCGAGTCCACCTTAAGGGGGGAGGGCGCTCCGGCGGTGTTTGTACACAGTGTGCACACCCTGCCTGCACCCCGTGTGCCCTGTCTGCACCCCATCCTGCACCCCCCCGAGACACTTCTCCATTCCACCCCAACACCCTTGACCCCAGTCCGACCTTATGGTGCGGGCTGGGGGAGCTGCAGCTTCTATGGGGTCTCATCAGTGCTACACAGCAGATAGGAGCAGACCCAGAACAAGGGAGACACCCCACAAACACACCCTGCCAACCCAAGGCTCATCAGGGGGGCAGACACGAGACCATCCCCACCCCAGCACCCCAAGACAGTACAACAGGAGGCAGGGACAGGGCTGGGATCTCTGTTTATTGAGGCGATGCTGGGGGGCACCCCAGGGGACTGCACCAAGGCACGGTGGCACTGGGGGTGTGCAAGGACCCCCAAGGAAGCAACACCACGGTGGTGTAGAAGTAGTGGGTCTGTCAGGCCTTGCCAGGATCCTCCTTGAGTGTCACTGTGCGGTTGAACACCATCTGGGGAGAAACAGAGGGTCTGCTCAGAGCCCCATTGCGGGCAGGGGGTGCTCACAGAAGTGTGTGCAGGCTGCCTCACTGCCCCCATCCCACAGGGCTCACCTTCCCCTCCTCACTGTCGGGATCCACGGAGAAGTAGCCCAGGCGCTCAAACTGGAACTTGTCAAAGGGTTGAGCGGAGTGGACAGAGCTGTCGACCAGGGCATTGTGCACCACACGCAGGGAGTCCTGGCAGGGGGGACAGCTCAGCCAGCACCCCTACCCTTCTGTCCTCTCCACAGCCCAGTTTCCCCCAGCTCCTCTTCTCCCCGAGACACAGTAAGGCCTTGCCCCAAGAGGTAGGGTGTACATGGAAGTGGGTGCCTCAGGACTAGGTGCAGGAGGTCCCTACTTTCCCCCCAGACCCATAACCTCAGCTCCCACTACTCACAGGGTTGAGGTCACTCAGAAAGCCACCAGGTACCTCCAATGGATCCTCAGGATTTTTGTGCAAAAACCTGTCATGAGATAAGAGTCTTATCCCAAAACTGCCAAATGAGGAGACATGGTGCCACTCATGGGACCCCAGAGCATCACCTTCCCCACCAAAGATCTGGACAGACTCCAGCAGGGCCTGCTGCTGTACAGCTGCGTTGCTGCTCCATCACTGCTGAGCTTGCACTGGCCTCAGTTGGCAGCCAGATACTCACAGTCGCTCATAGAGCCGCACTTCACAGGCCAGTGGCACCGACACCCAGTGAATGAAAGCTTTGGGCTTTTCCGCTACATCCGACTTGGTGCAGGTCACCTCCAGTTCAATGACACGCCCACTGACATCCTGAGGGAGAGGAGATGAGCTAAGCTGTCAGGCAGCAGTCTTATCCCATGTGGCAGGCCTGGGGCTGAACCCCCAGCCCCACAGCTCAGTGACACCTTGTTCTCCACTGTGAGGCACAGGGCAGGCAGAGAGCAGCCACACAGGCAGCCTGAGCCCTCACTGTGTCCAGAGCATCCAGCGTTAGATGACCATTGCTGCTCTTCCCTACTGGGGCATGCTCATGTCCTAACATTCCACAGCCCAACCTCATGTCACTAGTACCCACAGCCACGCACCTTGATGACATTCTGGACAGAGATGACATAACCAGTGTGGCGCAGCCCCACTGGCTGTCCGGGGGCCAGGCGCTTGTAGCCCTTGTCTGCCTCCTGTAAAAGAGTTCACAGCTGCATGAGGGGTCCCAGCATGGGCAGCAGGTCCCCCCTCCAGCACGCCTCTCTGCCCCTACTCCTGCCATCCCAGGGATCAGTGATCCCAGGGCTGTTTGAACTTCCATGTTGCTGTGGGACATTCCCAGAGACAGGCCAGATTGAGCAACATTGGCAGAATCTGAACAGTGCCCATCAGAGCTGCTGGCCCATTTGGGAGTCACAGTCAAGTGCTCAACACCCACCTGTGACCTCTGTTTGCAGCACCAACACCACTTCCAGTGCTGCCAGGCTCCTGCTGCACAAGCTATATCTCCAAGAGTGAAGGTAGTATAGACCAGTGGGCCTGGCTTACCTCCCTGAAGTCTGTCTCCTCAATGTAGAGGGTCTGGTGGAAGGGCACTTTGTGAAAACCACGGCTCTCATCAGCTGGAAAGTTGGGCACAAGAACCTCCAGTGCCTGGGGAGAAAGAAGGCATGAATGCTGATCTCAAGGAATCCCACTCCCATGGGGAGCAGCCCATGGCAGTCTCACCTTCGGAGCAGGGAAGTTGGTGATGGTGACCTTGAGGGGCTCCAAGACAGCCATGGCACGGGGGGCCTGCTCATTCAGCACCTCACGTGCACAAGCCTCCAGCAGATGCGGCTCCATTGTCACCTGGGCAACTGTCACACCAACCTGGAGAACAGGGTGCTGTGACCATGCAGGCCAGGGGATGCAGCCATCTGCCCTGTCCCATCCTATCTGAAGCCTACCCGTGCACAAAAGTTGTTGATGGCCTCGGGAGGGAAGCCTCGCCGGCGCAGGGCTGTCAGTGTGAAGAGACGCGGGTCATCCCAGTCCCTGAGAAAAGACTGGTGTGACAACCAGGCATGCTCTGGGTGAGCCCCATCATGGCAGCTGGCCCTGCACCTACCTCACAGCACCTGTCTCCACCAGGCGGATGATCTTTCTCTTGGAGACAACAGTGTAGAGCAGGTTCAGGCGTCCATATTCCCACTGCACAGGGCAGTAAACATCCAGAGCGTTGCACAGCCAGAAGTAGGAGGAGCGCCTGCAAGGGAGGTACAGGCACAGCCCAGCTCAGCCCCATGGACATGCTGTCCCCCAGCACTGTGGCAGCCACCAGATGCTGCTCCCAGGTCTAGCTCAGACCTGGGCCATGATATGAACGGTGCTCACCTGGCCTGGAACTCCTTGGTGCAGAGGGAGTGTGTGATGTGCTCGATGGAGTCGCAGAGACAGTGTGTGTAGTCATACGTGGGATAGATGCACCTGCAAGGAACAGACACAGTCAGCTGAGGGCAGAGCACCGTGCTGCTCCACTCCTGACACCTGCTCACTCCCAGAAAATCCAGACCCATCCCCACCATATGTGCCAGGACACAGCAGGCCCTCCCTACCACTTGTCCCCAGTGCGGTGGTGTGGAGTGAACTTGACACGGTAGGCAACAGGATCCATTTTCCCATCCTCCATCACCAGCTTCATCCTCAGTGTGGCTTCCCCCTCCCCAAACTTGCCCTTTCTCATGTCCTGTGGAGAGGAAGAAAGCTGTCAGCTGAGCCACAGATCCAGCGCCCATAGGCATGCAGCACTTGCCCCAGCCAGGAGTACCTCAAAGAGCAGGAGCGACTCCTCCACAGGCCGGTCCCGCCACGGTGAGGGGGGTGGGTTGTGGCCCTTGATCTCCTCAACCTTCTGATGGCAGACATATGCCTGACCCCTGCAGAAGGGAAATGCGATCACCAGACATGAGTGACCCATCCCCTGGGCAAGGGGGAGCCCTGGCCACAGTGTAGGACATCAATACCACTCTGGCGCATTTCTCCTGCCCAACATGCTCACCTGCGAATGAGCTCCAGGGCCCAGGTGTAGAGCTGGTCAAAGTAATCTGACGCATGTGTCACTGCATAAGGCTGATAGCCTGTGGGCACGGGTGAAATGGAACAGGTTGGAGGGCCCAAAGGCCCAGCAGCAAGACCTGAATGCAGAGGTGTCCCTGGCACCTGGCTTGATCCTGCCCTCCTCATCCCAAGCCTTACCCAACCACTCCACCATCTCCCGGATGGCTGTAAAGTACTTCTCCTCCTCCTTCTCGGGGTTGGTGTCGTCATAGCGCAAGAAGCACACACCACCATTGGCCTGGGGATGAAGAGATAGTGAGCAGTTGCTCCCTGAGGGACCACAGGGCCAGGCCAGCAGCAAAGCAGCAGGGAAAAGCAGGGGTGGCTTGGTGCTTTTTACCTTGGCATAGCCAAAGTTGAAGTTAATGGCCTTGGCATGGCCAATGTGCAAGATCCCGTTAGGCTCAGGAGGGAAGCGTGTCCGTACCTGAAGAGGCAAAGGGGACATCTCTGTCCTTCAGCAGGAGACTTTTACATTCCCTGACAGCAGTGACATTGACACGAGCCCCTGGCAATCCTGCAGAGCACCCCGTGCTGTGTGGGTGCTGCCTCTGGCCTTACCCTCTGTGAGCTGCTTGTTCCTCACCCACCTGAACTGTGTCACTCTCACATGAAACCACTGGGCTGTGGGACATGGCCTCACCTGCC